CAATGAAACTCAACACATGTCATTCTAAAACCAGCTCAACACGCTGTGCAAAATTTCGTGTCAATTGCACAAACTACGGGTCATCGGTGCACAATTTACATAAAATCGGACCAAAATATATATGGGACCTATATCTAAATCCGAACCGATTTTGATAAAAATTAACACATGTCAATTCACTGCGCAATACCAAATTTCGTCTCAATAACATTATTTTAGCGACTTTTGTACACAATTAAACTAAAATCGGAGGAAAATATATATGGGAGGTATATCTAAATTTCGACCGATTTCAATAAAACTCAACACATGTCATTCTAAAACCAGCTCAACACGCTGTGCAAAATTTCGTGTCAATCGAACAAACTACGGGTCATCGGTACACCATTTACATAAAATCGGAGAAAAATATATAGGGAAGCTATATCAAAATCTCAACCGATTTCGACAAAATTTAACACACGTCATTCTAAACTATAACCGGTACGTTATGCACGTCGTTGGGACACATTAAAAAGCTGTGATAGGTTCCATTACCTTTCAAGTTGCCAAAACTTATGAATAAGTCGGTCAAAAATTCCCTTCCGGAACAATTCAAAAATTTTAATTGCTACTAAATTTTATTTCAAAGAACATATTAATATGATAATTAAATTTAAAAAAAAAAATAATTAACCACCTTTAATTATGAGGTGCTTCCGGATACTTCACCATCCAGCCATAGCCAACTAGGAGCTTGACTCTTCAAATATATTTATAATTTCTAACAAAAGAAAGACCAACCACTTCATAAAATTCGAACCTCTTCTCCCCAACCTCCCCATCATTTTTTTGCTGAAATTAGCAATATTTTTTCAATCGTCTTTTTTTCTATTTTTTCCAGCCTCTTATTTTTCATAGAATTCGCATTAAAAAAAATCTGTATCTTGATATCATTGTCTGCTGCTGTTTTGTTTGTTTAGCATTCTTGGGTAGGTTTATTTTTTTGCTTATTTATTTTTATTATTTTTTCTTCTTCTTCTTGATGTAATTTTAAGCTTATTTATGATTTGTTTTTCATCTTCTTCTTCTTTTCATTCTCAATGTAATGTAATTTTTTTTATTTTATTATCATTCGATGCCGCTTTGATTTGTCATGGCGATAACCAGAGAGAGAGAGAGAGAGAGAGAGAGAGAGAGAGAGAATGATGAACCTTTTTTGTCCATTCATTTAATCTATGTTTTATTTTTTGTTGCTTCTTCTACTTTGAGTTAAACGCCAACACATAACTTGTTAATAAATATTACAAATTAATCTAAGAGAAACAATTTTTCTGCGTCAACAAATTTCAAGAAAAAATATCAAATATCTTGACAATGTCCTTCTAGGAGTCCTTTTGTTATGGGAGGATTAATTTTAGCAAATTGTTTTAATTAAAAAAAGAACTTGTGGGCTTTGAAGGACATTTTTTATTAAGAGATAATGCAGATGATAAAAAAGACGATAAAGAAAGTATAAATATCTAACGAATAATACTCAGTGAAAGAAGGTTTCAATTTTATGCTTTAAAAAAATTCTGAGAAAACGAGAAACCTAATTTTTTTATAAATGCATTTCTCAATAAACTAAAATTCGAAAAAAATAAAATTTTTCCAAGTAAAAAGCTAAAAACCCGGTTGAAAACCCGAAACCCGGTTCATTTAGTGCGAAGAATCAAAGTAACCGGTTACATAATAGTTTCTATCATGTGGTGTGACTACATTATTTTCCAATATCTTTAACTATTCCTAATAACCAAAAATTTGGTATCAAAATCCAACTAAAAAGCCAAAAACACGATACAAAAACCGAAAACCCGGTTCATTTAGTAAGAAGAACCGGCTTCAATATTAATACCAAATTAAATATTTATGAGTTTTATTTCGAAAATAATTAAAACAGCCATAATAATCAAAAAACCGGTTCATTTAGTCTAAAAAACCGGATATTAGCCTGAGGAGAATTACGAAAAAATCTTCAGTGGCTAACTTTTGATTCCATAGAAAAATAAATAAATCCTATAAAATCCTGCAAATCTGTTCTGAATCCGAAAACCCGGGTCACTTAGTACCAAAAACCAGTTCACATATTATGAACATATTGCATTTCAATGGGTTCAACCTATTTAAATACTTCAACTACCTGTCAACATCATATACCCAATTAATACCCAAAAATCGGATATTAAGCAGAGTAACCGGTTCCAAAATAGTTTCCATTAAATGGGTTGTTGGATTAAGATCTTGAAAATATTTAAAATACCTATCATAATCAAAAAACCCCATTTTAGATACCATCGAAACCCGGATATTAACAAGAGTAACCGGTACCAAAATAGTCTCTATCATATGGGTTGACCACATAAAACGTAATCATTATTTTCCAATATCTTTAAATTCTCCACATATGCAAAAAACCCCGTTTAATTTGGTGTCAAAATCGAAATATTAACCCGAGTAACCGGTTTCAAAATAGTCTATGTCATGTGGTTTGAATACTTAAAACTTTAAAATGATTTTTCAATATCTGAAAATTTTCATAATAACCAAAAACCGTTTAATTTAGTTTAAAAATCCAAATATTAACCTGAGTAACCGGTTCCAAAATAGTATCTATAATTTGGTTTAACTACTTAACACATTTGCATAGTCTTCAAATAGCTTAAAATAGTCAAAATAACCAAAAGCCATTGCATTTAGTAAGAAAATCGAAATATCAACCCGAGTAACCGGTTCCAAAGTACTCTCTATCATGTGGCTTAACTACTTAGCACATTTACATAATCTTCCAATAGCTTAAAATAGTCAAAATAACCAAAAACCATTGAATTTAGTAAGAAAATCCAAATATTAACCCGAGTAACCGGTTCCAAAATAGTATCTATCATGTGGTTTAACTACTTAACATATTTACACAATCTTCCAATAGCTTAAAATAGTCAAAATAACCAAAAACCGTTGAATTTAGTAAGAAAATCCAAATATTAACCCGAGTAACCGGTTCCAAAATAGTATCTATCATGTGGTTTAACTACTTAACACTTTTACATAATCTTCCAATAGCTTAAAATAGTCAAAATAACAAAAAACCGTTGAATTTAGGAAGAAAATCCAAATATTAACCCGAGTAACCGGTTCCAAAATACTCTCTATCATGTGGGTTGGCTAATTAAAACATTATTATTATCTTAAAATATCTTTAAATACTCAAAATAAACAAAAAACCGATTCATTTCGGAAAAAACCCGAATATTAATTCAAGTAACCGGTTCGAAAGTAGTCACTACTATGCAGATTGGCAGCTAAAACTTAAACATTAACATTCAATATGTTTAAATACTCCAAATAACCAAAAACCGTTTAATTTAGTATCAAAATCCAAATATTTATCCGGGTAACCGGTTCCAAAATAGTCCCTATCATGTGAATTGACTACTTAAAACATTAACATTATCTTTCAATGTCTTTAAATATTCATAATAACCAAAACCCGTTTAATTTATTATTATAATCCAAACTTTAACTCGAGTAACCGGTTCCAAAATACCCTCTGTCATTTGGGTTGATTAGTTAAAACTTTTTCAATATCTTCTGATATCTTTACATACTCCTAAGAGCCAAAAATCCGATTCATTTAGTATAAAAATCCGGATATTAATTCGAGTACAAAATAGCGTCTATCATGTTAGTTGACTACTTAAAAACATAATCATCATCTTCCAATACTTAATATATTCCCAATAAACAAAAAACCGATTAATTAAGCATTCGAAACCGAATATTAACCCGAGTAACCGGTTCCAAAATAGTCGCTATCATGTGATTTAGCTAATTAAATCTTAATTAATATCTTGCAATAATAGTTCATACTTGCTAATCTAATAATAAATATAAAAACCGTTTGATTTTGTACAAAACCCGGTTCAATAAGTGCTGAAAAAAGTTGGTTTAAAAATGAAACACCTTAGAAATGTCATAGTTAAGTCTACAAGACTGTTCAGGTAACATAAATAGAAGTTTAAAATACAATACACGAATATAGATCCGAGTAACCGGTTCATAGGAAATCCAGAAAACGTATCTATAGAAAATATTGTTATTTTTTGATTAATAACAATTTAAAAAAATAAATAAATTATATTAAAATTAATTTTTTTGTATAAAGATAGACCCAGAATCGAATATAGCATAATTGTACCCGAGTAACCGGTTCAATATCGTTCCTAAGTAGCAATACATTACATTGAACTACAATATGATAGTTAATGTAGTTAGTTATGACATATGAATGTAAAAAGTAAAAAACCGGTTCATGTGGAACAAAAAATCCGGTTAACCGGTTTTATAGAAACCGGGGTTTTCTTCAAAAAATGTCTAAAGAATTAAAAATAAATTAGTTTAAAGTTATATTTTTTTATAAAGAGAACCCATTAATCAAACATCACAATATACCAATTTATACCCGAGTAACCGGTTCAAAAATGAATCTCTCAAGTGGCAATAAATTAATATCAATTAGTGAGTGAGTTAGCCATTTGAATGAAAAGAAATTTTTTTTTCAATTTATTTTAAAAAATTAAAAATATTTGTCTCTACCAATTAAAAATAAATTATTTTATAGTGATATTGTTTATAGAGAAACCCCCTGAATCGAATACAGTACAATTATACCCAAGTAACCGGTTCAATATCGATCTTCAAGTGTCAATACTTTAATTAAAATAAATTTATGAAGTTTATAATGATGTTAATTATGATATTTGAATGAAAAAAATTAAATGAACCGGTTCACATTGAACAAAAAACCGGGTTTCGGAACCGGTTTTTTCCACAACTTGAAAATTGATTGAATGAAAAAAATAAAAAACCGGTTCACACTGAGACAAAAACCCGGTTTTCGGAACCGGGTTTTTTGTACACCATAAACCGGTTTCTTAATTTATTTCAAGAAAAAATTTATTGAAAATTTGATCTCTACTCACATTAACTTTTCCTGGTGTCACCGTATAAGCACTTTCGGCACCAACACCCACAGCTTCACCGGCTACAGCATTACCATCACCCGAAGCACTATTGGGACGAGCATCAATCCGCTGAATACACGAAAAGAAGAAGCATACCAGCAGTAGGAATATCACTTTTTTACTTGTCAACAATTTAAATTGGAATTGTTTCTTGCCACCGTTCGCCGTTTTTCCAGCTCCATTTTCACTAGTTGTTGTTGTTGTTGACTTTTTCATTTCCGTTTCGGGTTTTTTGCGATAGGCCTCAAAGCGGGGATCATCGCGTTTAATGGTGTTGCGTTCACAGAAATTGACAAAACCCAACCAAAGGGCTAAGAAGAATGCCTTCAGACTGGCCGTGGAATTTTGCTTCAGGGAAGTAGAAGAGGAAGAGGACGAGGAGCGGGATGACGATGTAGATGAGGAATCGGCAAGTTTGGAATTTGTATTTACAAGATCTTCATTCTCACCCGCATCAGCATCGCTGCTCTCCTTCTTGTGCTCTGGCTTAGTTGTAAGTTTTCGCTTAATTAAATTATTAGTTGTTGTTGTTGTTGGGATTTCAGTTTTCTCTACACTAAATGACTTGTCTTCTTCTTCTAATTTACTATTATTTATAGTAGTATTATTAGTAGTTGTTGTATTAATATTTTTACTAAATATTTTAGCACCATTCAAAACCGTTGTAGTTTTTTCTAAATTTAATTTTTCTCCATCATCATCAGCATCGTCATTTGATTTAAAGCAATTCTCACAGCATTCATGTTCCGATTTTCTATCTAACAAACCATCACCTTCATTGTCATCACCCTCTATGTTCTTGCACCAGCATGCCCGCCTAGCCAAATTCAATTCCTGTTCCAATGACGCCGTCTTCTGATCCGCCGAAAATGGATCTTTCTTTCGATTTGTCATCGTCGATTCCATTAATTTTTTATTAACAGCCATTTTTGTATTTGTTGTTGTGGTTTTTGGAATAATTGCAGATTTTTGAAAATTTACAAAATTTTTCGATCGTTGTTGTTGTTTGTTGTTGGCCTTATTGGCGCCAGCATCACTTTCTTCTTCAGGACCTCGAAAGAATAGTTCATTGGAATTTCTTATAAATAAATCGTGGAACATAACGTTTTGGCGGTGATGGCGATTGTATTCAACACCAGGCAAACAAAAAAGAAAACGAAATGTTGAACACAAAAAAGATTTGAATTTAACTAAAGTGGAATTATTTTCAATATCAATTTTGGGGATATTATTTTGATTATAATTTATAACCAATTGCCCTTGGTTAAATTATGGTTTGAATTTCGTTTTTCAAATAAAATTTTAGTTTTGGTTTAAATGTTTTATTTTACACTAACATTTGTAGTTGTTTTTGTTGATGGGTTCTAGATTTTTAACTCTAATTTGTGGGGACGTAAATTGTTGTGGCATATATTTATTAAGTACACGGTTGCAGGTTAGATCTGTAAAGAGGAAAAAAACAAAAAATTAAATTAGTAAATTTAAAATCCATTAAAAAATAAATAAAAATAGAAAAAACCGAATAACCGGTTCATTACGCACAAAAACCGGTTCTCAACAAAATATAAACCCGGATATTCGGAAAAATGAAAATGTAAAAAAATTGTTTAAGCTCAATCTTTTTAATTGTCGTACATTAAATTCAAGTTAGATAGCCTTTTACAAATTTATAACCGAGTAACCGGTTCACAAAAAACCGAAAACTCAGATTTTTTGAAAAATAATAATGTGGCCATTATTTTACATTCGGTTCCATTGATTATGATACCTAAAATTATGTTTTAAATACGCTATGAACATTTCAACTCAAGTAACCGGTTCACAAATATGAATAACACGAGTAACCGGTTCACAAAAAATAAAAAAACTTAGTGCTTGGGAAGGATACTAATAGGAAAAAAATCTTTTATCTCAATCTTATTAATAGCATCACTTTGAATTTAATTTTGATAGCCTTTTACAAATTTATAATCGAGTAACCGGTTGGAAAACAACCAAATAATTCGATTTTAGAAAAAATAACAATGTAAAAATGATTTTACATTCAATTATATTAGTTTTGAGAGCTCAAATGTCATTTTAAACACACTATACACATTTCGAACCGAGTAACCGGTTCATGAAAAATCGAAGTACAATATTAAATATCGTTTTATATTTCATTATTATTATTTACAGTATTTTAAATTCAATTATGATAGCGTTTTTTTTTTTCAAATTTATGACCGAGTAACCGGTTCACATAAAATCCAGAACTCAGATTTTTAGAAAAGTAATAATTGTGAAAATTATTTTACATTAGGTTCTATTAACTATGATAACCCAAATGCTGTTTAAAACACACTATGCACATTTCAACCCGAGTAACCGGTTCACAAGAAAACCAACAACTCGGATTTTTGGGAAAATAATAATATAAAATATTAGTTTAATCTCAATTTTATTAATTGCAGTACTATAAAAATAATTTTAATAGCGTCTTACAAATTCATAACCGAGTAACCGGTTCAAAACTCAAACCAAAAAATCAGATTTTAGAAAAAAAATATGATATGAAAATTATTTTACATTCGACTCTATTAGTTATGATAACTCAAATACAGGTTTAAACACACTATACACATTTCAACCCGAGTAACCGGTTCACAAGAAAACCAACAACTCGGATTTTTGGGAAAATAATAACATAAAATATTGGTTTAATCTCAATTTTATTAATTGCAGTACTATAAAAATAATTTTAATAGCGTCTTACAAATTTATAACCGAGTAACCGGTTCAAAACTCAAACCAAAAAATCAGATTTTAGAAAAAATAATGTAAAAAATATTTTACATTCGGTTCAATTAATTATTATAACTCAAATGCCGTTTTAGACACACTATACACATTTCGAACCGAGTAACCGGTTCATGAAAAATCGAAAATTCAGATTTTGGGAAGGAATATTTTATAAAATATTCTTTTAAATGTCATTTTTATTATTTACAATATTTTCAATTTAATTTTGATAGCAATTTAAAAGCTTAGAACCGAGTAACCGGTTCAAGCAAAAAACAAATAATCCGATTATAGAAAAAGTTGTAATTTAATAAGGATTTAAAATTCGGTTCTATTAATTGTGATGGAAAAAAAATATTTTTTTTAATATATTTATGCATATTTTTGAAAAACATTTCGTTAGCGTACTTCAAATATAATTTTCAACGATTTACACCAAATTTAAAACGAGTAACCGGTTCAAAAACAATGTAATAACCGGAGTTTAGAACAATCAAAATAATTCGACAAATAATTTCAATTCATACGTTGCCAATAAAAATACTTCAAATGTAATTCCGAACAATTTTCAACCCGAGTAACCGGTTTAGAAACCGGGTTCAGTTATCAAAAATCGGGATTATGTATACCAAATAATTGGAAAAAATGAATACACTATCAATACCATCATATCAGATTATTATAATGCGGGTTAAAATAAAAAACTGAAATGTTGAAACCGAGTAACCGGTTCCAAATTTGTGTATAAGCTTATTTAAAAGGGCCTACACAAGGCGTGGAGTTTTTAAAAGATATTTTTTGGCGTCCTATACAAGGCGTGGATTTTTTAAAGTAGATTTTTTGGGGTCTACACAAAGGCGTGGACTTTTTAAAGTGGATTTTTTGGGGTCTACACAAAGGCGTGGATTTTTTAAAGTAGATTTTTTGGGGTCTACACAAAGGCGTGGATTTTTTAAAGTAGATTTTTTGGGGTCTACACAAAGGCGTGGATTTTTTAAAGTAGATTTTTTGGGGTCTACACAAAGGCGTGGATTTTTTAAAGTAGATTTTTTGGGGTCTACACAAAGGCGTGGATTTTTTAAAGTAGATTTTTTGGGGTCTACACAAAGGCGTGGATTTTTTAAAGTAGATTTTTTGGGGTCTACACAAAGGCGTGGATTTTTTAAAGTAGATTTTTTGGGGTCTACACAAAGGCGTGGATTTTTTAAAGTAGATTTTTTGGGGTCTACACAAAGGCGTGGATTTTTTAAAGTAGATTTTTTGGGGTCTACACAAAGGCGTGGATTTTTTAAAGTAGATTTTTTGGGGTCTACACAAAGGCGTGGATTTTTTAAAGTAGATTTTTTGGGGTCTACACAAAGGCGTGGATTTTTTAAAGTAGATTTTTTGGGGTCTACACAAAGGCGTGGATTTTTTAATGAATATTTTTTCAGGGTCTACAAAAGGCGTGGATTTTTTAATGGAGATTTTTTTAGGATCTACACAAGGCGTGGATTTTTTAATGAATATTTTTTCAGGGTCTAAACAAGGCGTGGATTTTTTAATGGAGATTTTTTTGGGGTCAACACAAAGGCGTGGATTTTTTAATGGAGATTTTTTTGGGGTCAACACAAAGGCGTGGATTTTTTAATGAATATTTTTTCAGGGTCTACACAAGGCGTGGATTTTTTAATGAATATTTTTTCAGGGTCTACACAAGGCGTGGATTTTTTAATGAATATTTTTTCAGGGTCTAAACAAGGCGTGGATTTTTTAATGAATATTTTTTCAGGGTCTAAACAAGGCGTGGATTTTTTAATGAATATTTTTTCAGGGTCTAAACAAGGCGTGGATTTTTTAATGAATATTTTTTCAGGGTCTAAACAAGGCGTGGATTTTTTAATGAATATTTTTTCAGGGTCTAAACAAGGCGTGGATTTTTTAATGAATATTTTTTCAGGGTCTAAACAAGGCGTGGATTTTTTAATGAATATTTTTTCAGGGTCTAAACAAGGCGTGGATTTTTTAATGAATATTTTTTCAGGGTCTAAACAAGGCGTGGATCTTTTAAAGGAGGTTAAGGTTTTTAATTTAAAAAAATGATATCCAATTGATAAATTTTATCGCTGTGCCACACATCGGATGGGCCTCGTTAACCTTGACATTCATGTGTTTTGTTGGGGTTCCTTTTTTAATAAATTATGAAGTGTGTGTGTGTGCGGGTTCCCATTGACATTGTTTATGGGCCTGTGCTCATCACACCCCAAAAATCAAAATGTGACAGCCTAAATAGCACATTTGTCATAATAAGTTTTGTAATTTTTTGTTTTGGGTTCCGCAAATGAATTTCAATTCTGTTTTTATTTTTTATTGAAATAAATTTTTAATTAAATTGTGGCACAATGTTTACGGGCCGGCCAGCCAATTGAAATGGGTCACAGAGTGCCAAGCAAACAAATTTTGAAAGAAGCGAAGAGGATCACACATACACACACACACACACACCGAAAAAGATAAATTTTTATCAATTAACAACAATTGAAAAGGGAAAAACAACAAAATGATGATAAAATAAATTGGGAAGCCACAGAGGGAGGTGGGGGAGGGGTGTTGGGGTACAATGATAATTTATCTTTGAAAAAAATGAGGAACACTTTCTTTAAGGTTGCTGGTGATAAAATTTAGGGGGGTGGATGGAGGAGGTGTCTCCATCCCGATAAACAATTTCTTAAAGGTTGTTTTGTGATAATCTGGGCGGAAGGGTTGGGAAGGTATTACGGGTCCGTGGTGCTGAGGTACCGAACAAAAAATTATTCAAATTTGGTTGTTGTACTATTGAGGGGTTAGGAAGGTATCCCGAGGTTCTTGCTTAACTGGTAGCCACTTTTTATCACTTTTTTTGGAACACTGATAATTTTTTTTATCTTTTTTTTTAATTTCAAAAAATATTCTTTCAAGTGCATATCAAATATTTTTACGATAACAGAGTATTAATCACAATTAAAAAAAAAAAATAAGTACCCCTTCACAATAGTAATTGTTCGACACAAGGAGCCAGCAGCAATCCAAAAAAAAATAACCGGATCCGTACCGGTTTCACTTTCCGTATTTATTTTTATTTATTTTTTTCGAAAGGACCCTCTTAGAGGCGTATCACGTTTCATGCA